ATTATACCTGAACCTATGCTAAACAATGTTAACTGTTCCAGGTTGTCAAGATGGCAGTTACTTAAACAAATGTTGGACACGTTCTGGTCACGTTGGTCGCAGGAATGTCTCCAAAGATTTCATGATGTATCTAAATGGAACAAGTCAGTACCATCTCTGAAAAAAGATTCACTTGTTCTGGTTGTGGATGAACGGTATCCGCCAGCTAAGTGGCCTCTCGGCCGAGTTATAGACGTTCATCCTGGCGCAGATGGGCATGTCAGAGTTGTTACAGTTCGCACTCAGACATCTGTTCTCAAACGTCCTATCGTAAAGCTGTGCCCATTACCTATCGAACGAACAGATTCATGAGGAATATTCTTTGACCCCGGTCAACGAAGGCAGGCGGGGAATGTTACGAGATCAGCCCATTCAGATAGAGAGCGCGTCGATCAAACGATCGGATTTTCCATCCGGGACGCCACCGCGCGACACACACGCATAACACCACTCTCCTAGACTGGTGAAGGAGGGAGCAGAGAGGGCTTTCTGGTGGCTTGGGCCTCCTCGGGCTGTGTCGTGGAGCGAGCTGGCTTTTGTTTGTCGCTCTGATAAGACGTGACTTATCATGATTCTCGTGGGTGCAATTTTGTGCAATACGATTTTTCCCAAAGGTGAGATTCTTCGAATCTCTTGATCGGTTATCAATCCAGCACTGGATTATTAAGGCCGATCATCAATATCAGCAAGTTCTGTTCGAAGGGACAATCAAGAAAGAAAGTCAAGGGAGAGCTCGACTAATCGGCCATCTTTCTGCATGCTAAGACGACTGGACTAAACAACACACTCAATCTCACTTAATTGATCTCTTACAAGTTGGATTATCTATCTTCCATTTATTATATGTAACTCGAATTAAACCAGGTAACTCATAAGTTAATAAGAAATCTGAATAATGATTGTTTCTTAGATTGGCTGTTAGTGAGTAGGTTTTGAGACAAAGACATCGACAACAGAGTCACGTTTCAACGATATTTATTCATTATTTATTATCTCTACCTAATAAATAGTTATATAACATTGTTCGTCATTTGAGTTAACTAATTCTTAACAGTATAAATTGAATATTATTATATGTAAGTTTATATTCCTTCTTTCCTTTTCTTATTGTCTAATTAATATTAGTAAATAGCTCAAGCCAAAGAACTAAAATATAAGTACAATAATTTCGATATACTGCATGATTTTATTTTATTACCTTGTATGAGAAGAAACCATGTGTATTTTATCTGTATGTGTTTCAGTTATAAGACTCGATTACATTTTCTCCTTTTGTTTACAACCATAAATAAAAATAGGCACTTATGATTCGCTAAACAGTTACCATTGCCGTAACAATTTGACCAATTTTTAAGCATTATAAAAGATCATTCTTATTTTAAAGTGTGCTAATTTCGATAATTCTTATATAATTATAGCATATCATATAGCGGTAAAAGCGAACAAATTATTGGAGTAAACTATAGTGATCGCTGGCGATTTTTTTGGATGATACCAAGCTTTGAATGTACGATACCTACTCGGCTGTACATATGATAAATTGATGCCTAAAAAATTACTTTCATCGCCATTGCCTAGAAATAATAATATTTGAAAAGCTTTAACAACTTGATAGCATAAGCTGTAAAATTTATGCTTGCAGCTTTTGCTATACTACTATAAACTATAGTCTTAGAAGGAAATCCTTGTAAAGAAAAATATTTCAATAATGTAAAAATGTATGAAGCAACATTTTTTAAAAATTAAAAATTAAAAGTAAATTGCCTTTTCTAAAGTGATAAATTATTAATATATACTATCTTACATTATCAATCACGATATTTCATGAATTATCGTTAATAAAGGATCCTTATTTAAACAATATAAATATCTTGTTTGTATCGGAGAGACGAAAAAAATATATTTATGTTGGTCTCACTGGGAATGGGCATGAAAAGGGTCATTATACTTATGATATATAATCTATATTTCGATATTATAATCTGTTTTTGAGGCAAAGATTGTATTATGGAAGTATTTATGGTTTATGCATAAAAGGGGCCTCCCCCGATTTGGTTCATTTTTAAATATGTTGTAGGACAGGTTCCTGAGTAATTCATATATATGATATATAAGGGTCGGGAACTCAAATATTTCCGGATATAAGGTGAAAAAGAATAAAAAAATTGTTCTGTTTTACTATAGTTTTTTCAATTTTTTTATACAAGTGAGGTTCACTCTACTCTATTCCTTTGTCGCAAAACAAGGGTTTATAAGTTTAATTATATTTATATTATATTATTTATCTTTAATTTTTCTATGTATAGACAAGTATATTCTACATTATATTTTCATACAAAGCAGGTACATTTTATACCACTAGAGAAAAACGGCCCCAGGCGGGACACAGATGGGTTAGGTTTATATCTTAGGGTAGGTATATTCCGGAAGTGAGCCCCCGCAGAGGGCGGAACAACTATGTCACGCATGTATTTTTTCAAAAGATGAAGCAAAGTTCACAATTTTGCCCTAATTATCGCTTCTGATATTATCGATTATAAACGTCATGCATAAATTATATAATTTGTAGAAAGTTATTGCAAATATCCTTTTTATACAGAGTGTTGCAGAGTACTATAATATAGCGCTTGTGAGAAACAATAAATTCAACTAAAAGGTCACTATGGCATTTACGATTTTCGTAAATAATAATTGAAATATTAAATAACTTGACGAAAATGTGTAACTGCGGTGGTGTGTGTGTGTGTGGTTGAGAGAGAAACGCTCGGCCCGTTCAACTTTGCATATCCAATGTTTTCAGGTATTTTTTTGTTGCGCGCGACAAGGGAAAGACAGCGGAGCACGCCGTTTTATGTCGTCGTATCACCTATTCCGCGCCACGCTGTTCTTTCTTTTGCCGCGCGCCGATAAATGCTTGACACGTTGGACCATGCGATACACTCGAACGGTCGAGTGTTTCTCTCTCTCTCTCT